AGCTCACACCTGTGTTACAATATTATAAAGCAGCAGCACTCCTAAAATAATTTATTTTTCATCAGTTCATAATTTACACGTAGTTTACTTTGGATTGAAACTGCCTAAATGCAATGATTAATGATCATCAACAAAGTTGTTTCAGCCATTTTTTTTGTGTACATAAGTCCTAAAATTCCAATGGCTGCCCCTGTTGAAAGCTGTTAATCGTAATATTAACTAATGCCTATGCTTTCAGTTTTTTGTTTTTTTTTTTTCCAGGGGAAGGGAATTAACTTCTCAAACAGCTGTCACATGAAGGTGTAAAAATTGTTAAATGTAAATGTACTCTTTGAAGACTTACATAAAGGCATTTTATATGAATGGCACATATCCTAAATATGTATGACACTCAAAGGTCTCTTGCTGCACTGGATAATTATGGCTTTAAAAAAATTAGTTAGGATAGCTAGTGGAAAATCCATGGTTTATGTTTTTAAGATTTCTTTTACGAGACTTGTAGAGACTTCAAATGATCATTTACCAACAAAAAACCCAACCCAGTTTCTATTGCTACTTGATTGTGGAAACAGCTTTCCTTATGTTTCAGAAAACTCTGTGCAAGCAATAGCAGCAGCATGGGTGAGCATTATGTCTTCATTGAGTAGCTGTTTTCAAAACCTTGTTAGAAATCACCTAAGGATATGCTTCCACTGCAGAGTTAACTTGGTTGATTGGCGACCGGGTATGAGCAGCCATACTGCACAGCGATACTCTTTACAGTGTCCTCCCTAGTGCTGCACTAAGTGTGTGATCAATCACTTTAAAAAAAAATACCATAATATAACCATCGCAGTAATTTGGATCTTTACTTTAGTCTCAAAGGTGGACTAGACATTTTTTCATACATAAGTCCTAGAACAACAGTTTTGGCCCAGTTATAGTGATGTTATTAAATAGATTTTTTTTTAAAGAATAATATTGGTCCAGAGTCGTTTTGTATAGAAAGCAAATATTCATAATGGCATCTTTTTGTACTGTTAAGATATCTTTTCTCCGCTGGTGTTATTTGCTTCTACGATTGCTTCAAAAGGGTGCCATCTAGTGTCTAAAGATTGCAATATGAATTGCAATTTATAAGGCAGTAGATGGGAATTTTATTAGGTGGTGGTGCAGAACAATTATTACATCATAATTCTTAAACTGCCTGGGAATAGTGTAAGATTGATAGAGGAAACTGTGACTCTTGAATGAAGTATTAAGGAAATTGAATTGTTTTTTTTTTTTCATATGATGACAAGAATATTAATGTGAGCCATGAGTATTATTTTAATTAAGTCAAACTTCTCTTTAAATGAATTGTGTGTGCTTGAGATGCACACACATAGGATTCTTGAAATGCATTCAGCTTGTCTGTTTTTTGCTTGCTCATGCCTTCAGTAAATGACCTTACAGAAGTTGGATTTTATTTGTAGTATAGAAACTAATGCTGTCTTCTGGTTACATGAATATGTTGTATTGGCCTTACAGTGATCTCAGGAAACACAAATCTGTGCCTCATAAAATCAGCTGCTATAGTCATGCACACATGAGCAGTACCAGATTTTTTAAAAATGCATGATAATACTAGGCGAGATCTGACTACTATATATTTATTGACTTTTAGAGCGCTTGTTCCCATAATTGCTAAGTGCTTGCTTACATATTTTTAAGAATACCAAATAGTAAATTGCATAAAACCATTCAAAGGCTCAAGTTTGATTGAGTTAAATCAGTTTGATCAAAGTGATTTAAATTACCGTTTTAATAGGGATTTAAATCAGTGGGCAGGACACCTTGATTTAAATAATTAATAGTAAGGTTGTTTTGCATTTGTACTTTGTAGTTATTTTCCTAAAGAAACATTGATTCTCATTGATTGATAATCATTAAGGCATATTGATTTGCAACTAGACATAGCCTTTACACTAAATTTGGTACTTCTTTTTGCTAACAAGGATGGTACAGGTTGATGGTACAGATGGTACAGATTTTTAAAATATTTAGTGAATTAAAGTACACTTCTACTCCGATATAACACGACCCGATATAACGCGGTAAAGCAGTGCTCTGGGGGAGGGGCTGCGCACTCCGGCGGATCAAAGCAAGTTCGATATAACGCAGTTTCACCTATAACGCAGTAAGATTTTTTTGGCTCCCACGGACAGCGTTATATCGGGGTAAAGGTGTACTTGTTTTTGGTCACCATGCCCTTCACATTTTTTAGAATTAGATTAATCCTCTCTCATATTATTTTTATTCATAGATTGGAAGAAGAAAACAAACTTAGGCCGTAATAGGTTGTTGTAATTTAAGTATAGGTTGTTGTAATTTACAGTTTAATTATAAATAGGTTATTTTGAAAAAGAAAAATGTATGTAATTAAAAATCCATTTTTTATTGTTGTTTTTTTAATTATTGAATTTTTCTGCACTGGGCTTTAAGAAAACCAATGTCCTTTTGTCAGGAATAAAGCAAAATGGACCAAGGTTTAATACAAATAAAAATATTTTAATATAATTATATCAAGATCACATGTATAGAGGAAGTAGACTTTGTAATTATAAATTACAGCAAGTTATTTAGTTTTCTAATTTATACTGCTTCAGGGGCAGTCTGGATTAAAGGCCTGATGCTGGAGCTCACAAGGATCATCCCCTGACGAAACACACTGTCTGCTATGGATGATGCTGAGCAATAGGTAGCTACATGTCCACTCGGGCAACGAAGTCAGTTTGCCCCAGTTCCTCATCACCGGACTGCCATAAGGCTCAGTATTTGCGCTGACGGTTTTCAATGTTTACATGAGTGACATGCCTCCAACGAAGTCGTGCAAATTTGCATATGTGGATGACCTGCCGTGGCAACTCAAGCTGCCACCTTCAGTGACATCAAGTCCACCTTGAACAGGGACCTAAACACCATAGAGGAATATTTCTGGAAATGGAGGCTCAAGCCAAATCCTCACAAAACAGCAGTCACTGCATTCCATCTTGATAACAGGAATGCTAAGCACACCCTGAAAGTGACCTTCTGCAGCAACAGTGTGTGACATGACCTCACTCCGACCAATCTCAGAGTGAAGCTGGACCACACGCTAACCTCCCACGACCATCTGAGGAATGTAGCCGCCAAGACGAAGACGAGGGTCAACCTGGTCCAGAAACCGGCAAGCACAAGCTGGGCAGCATAAGCATCAGTGTTACACACATCAGCGATGGCCCTTGTGTACTCTGTAGCCAAAGGCTATGCACCGGTATGGACCAGAAGTAACCATACTTGACTTATTGATGTCCAACTAAACACTGCAGTGCGGTGCATCACTAGAACCCTCAACTCGACCCCAACACCTTGGCTGCCAGCGCTGTCGCACATTGCGCCCCCATCCATTTGCCATGATGCCACAACCCTTCAGAAATTTCATAGGATCGTGGAAAATGAACATTTTCCCATCCACCAGGACCTTAACAATGTCCTTCATCTCTGCTTGAAGTCACACAAGCTTTTTTTGGACCCACGCATTTAATCATCAACAATGCAACTTCAACCCTGATGAAGCTTACAAAGCTGAATGGAATTCACAAGAAGTCACAAACACTGCATGAAAGACCCCATGCAGAAGATCTCTGGCTTCAATCTCCCACAAAGGTTATGGGCAGCCTTAAACCATATCCGCACAAACCATGGCAGATGCGGATACTTGCTGCAATAATGGAAATTTAAAGACTCTCCAATGTGTGACTAGTCACCCAGAACAGACCATGGAACTCAATGCCCAATTCACAAATATGAAGGAGGCATCGCCAGCAGTACACTCTGCTACTCCAGATGCAATTATCTAGCTTAACTATCTAAACGTAAAACTATAGTTGTTGCTCTACATTTACCTCAGCCATACGAAGAAGAAGGGGCAGAAGAAATTTGGAAAGGATAGGAGACAATTGGGAAGTCAAAAGAATCTAAACCAGCAGTTCTCAAACTGTGGGGTGGGCCTTCCAAGAGACGTGTGGGAATGTGTCAAGAGAGGCGCGAGCTGTGTGTTTTGTTTTTTAAGTGCTCTGGCTGTCAGCTTCAGGTGGCTGGGGCCTGTGCAGAAGGACCATGCACACTCAGGAGGCGGGGATAAAGGGGACAGCTGGAACCCCGCCACCTTGGCTCAGGCTCTCCTTCCCCCCCCCCCAATCCCTCACCTGGAGGCGGCGGGGCTCTGTCTGTCAGCCCCCGGGGTGGCAGGAGCAGTACAGAAGTAAGGGTAGCAATGGGGCGCTAAGTCTGCTGTGAAAAGTTATATTGACGAATATCACTTTCCACATTGCTACCATTACTTCTGTGTTGCTTCTGGTGTGGCGCTGCCTTCAGAGCTGGGTGCCCAGCCAGCAGCCTCTCTGCTCTGCCTTCAGAGCTTGGTGGTGACGTATGTACTTGGGGAGGAGGGCGTAAACAAGTACAGACACAAAGAAGGGTCAAATAAGTTTGAGAACCACGTCTAGACCCATTTCTGACAGTTCAGTCATGATCAGTTTGTTTTCTTTCATGACAGATAACTGCTAATATATTCCCTCAAGCTTTTGGGGGTGAGCATCTATTAGCAGAGAATAGATGAGTTTAAATGCAGAATGGGTGGCTTAATACTGTGCCTTTTCCACACTTAGGCCTTGATAGTGCAAATACATACACATGAGTAGACCTGTGTGAATATAGCTAGAGGATTGGGGCCTTAGTCATTGAGTGTGAGGTGGGCTCATTTGTGAGGTGTTAAATATATATAAATACACACCTGGATTCACTCATATCTCAGAGGGGACTGCAGTACACTTCTTGTTATTTCAACTGGCAAATATTTAAAAGAACGCTTGTCTCAAGTTAAAATCACCTGTCTCAAACAGGTGCAGTGGTCATTATTTCAAGTCTTTAAAAACAAAAACAAAAAAACATAAATGCTATATTCTTTATAAATATTATTGTTCTGACTTCTATTTCAGGTACTTCAGCTCTGAAGGAAAATGAAAGGCGGGGTTACTGAAGAACATCTGTACCTGGCTTACTCCCATCAATTTGAAGATTGCATCTTTCCTCTCCACACATCAATATCCTTGTTTTTGCTGTCCTACTGTGACTGCAAATTATTCAAAGTTTTCTTAGTGCCTGCTAGTGACAGTACAGATGACCAGTTATTTGGCAAAGCACAGCCTGATGACCTAGAGTTCCACTTCATCTCAAGGCGTCAACTCCCTTTGGTTGTCCAGAGTTGCTGTTTGCCTGCTATAGTTGAAGAAAATGGCAAATTCTGTCGAGCTGGTCTTTCTGTTGTGTTGAGGCACATAATACAGAAAACATATGAGGTAGATCCATCAAAGAAGTTGGTTTTGGAACTTTTGGGGTTTAAAAAGACGTGCCTAAAAGCCTGTGCTGAAGTGAGTGCATCTTTTTCTGTTACATATTTAAATATAGTTAACACTAAAAATTGGGTTTTAATGTGGATGTCTGCTGGAATATCCAGTTAAGATATTGTATCATATGGTTTCCTATTGTTGGTACAACAGTGGCTGTATTGATTCTGGTGAATGGTAATGATTTAAAAAAAAAACCCACCCTAGATATTTAACAGACTATAAGTAGCCTTAAGATTAAAAATATAGGCCAGATCCTCAGGTGGTATAATATAGTGTAGTTTCATAGAAATCAATGGAGCTGTTCCAATTTAGACCCATTGAAAATCTGCTGCTATCTGTTTTAAAAGAAATTCAGTTTACTTTTTATCTGCCATGCTCAGATTTTAGGATTGTGTGTGAGAGCTGGTGTTATTACTCACCCCTAAATCAAATCAGTGAATTGTATTCTTTATACACAGGTGTATAGGATGACATCAGTTCTTCTAAGATAAATACAGAATCCTGAACTAAGGGCTTGGAAGGTGTGTAAAAGAGAAGACAATATTTAAATCTAGTTACATAGTAGTGTAGGTCCAGAACCAAGCTTATGGGCTACATGTGCTAGGAAAGGCTTGATAATTTACAACTCGAGTCAGTCTAAAAACAGTTTAAAAAGTTAAATGTAACAACAAAACCCCTTTGTTTTGTACCATAGAAAGTGAAAGGTACTGCTGTGCAAAAAAATCCAATAAACGAAAATCCAATGGTAATGTAGGTAGGGGGCAGAACATGTTCAATGAAGAGCCTACTCCATACATCCCAGAAAGGGAGGTCAAGTACTCTAAGCTATGAAACTCTTTAATGCCATTTAGAAATTCCATGTACTCGTTTACTTTTTCAATATGAATGTTACTTGTCTACACCATCTTATTTAAAAGATCTGCTTATTTGTTCACAACTTTAAAAAATAATACCTTCTTAAACTGTTCCTACATATATTCTGTCATAAGGTAACCTTTAGTTCTGGTCTGTCCAGTGACCTGAGCTCATTCAAGTTTAATTGTATAATAACCCTTCGCCATGGCCATATTTACTCTGGACCAAATTCTGTGACATTAATTTGTTCTATCACCATGAAATATCCTTCATTCCTATTCCCCAAAACAACAAATACAACTATTGCTTATGAAAATACTCATTGATGTAAAATTTATTGTTGCTTATTTTCAACCCTGATTATTTTTGAAGATGGGTTTTTCATTATTGTACACTCTCCAGGTGCCCTGGCTCCACGCTCTGCCTTTGGCTCCCATAATGTTGTCCAGATGGTCCAGCACAGATTCTCCTTTTAGTTTTTAGTGGTCTTCAGCAGCTTATCAGGGCCGTGGCTGCTCTGCTGTTCTCCAGCTTCCTTAGTCAAGCCTATGCTTCTGTCTCCTCTACTCCCCGGCTACACGCTGGACCAGCCTCCTGCTTGCTGCCTAGATCCAGGATTCATTGCCGGGAGCATACACTAATCTAATTAATTTCTTCTTGTGAAGAAAACTGCAGGGCAATAGACAGCTGCAGGCCGTTCCCAGTAGCACAGTTTGACAAAAAGTAAACAAAATGTTGGATTTCTGGCTGCAGCAAAATATTGAATTCCATAGCATCTTGGGAAAATGCCAGATTATGCAGCCATGTAATTGTGGAGTCTTAGCGTTCTGCTTTAGATGGATGGGACAGTTCATGTTCAAACTATTATTTCAGATTTTCGGCAGATCCAGATAGATGACACTACATTGGTTTACACTTGGTGCACATTTTAGATGTTTTCTCTACAAACATAAAGACAGGAAACGATATTTCTTTTTAATGAGAATGCAATTCTGCAATAAATTTCATGGCTGTGGAATATGCAGGCCCTTGCCCTGAGAAAGATAAAATACTTCAAGCACATAATCTATTAGGTTCCGATCTCCTGTATACCTTGAACATCCAAAACTCTCTTTGAAGCCAGTAGGTATCAATGAGGCTGTATAAACTGAAGTCAGTACCCATTTTGGGTTTGCAAGGAATGAAGGATCAGATCTTAACTTTATAATCCCAAAACTGGGGATAAAATTATTGAAAATGCCTAAATCCCATTTACAGAATAGATTTAGGTACTTAGGGTCTTAAATTTCATCAGTGGGACGTAGGTTTTTCTAAGTTAGTTAGGTGCTTTTGAAATTTTTTCCCTGGATCTCAATTTTGTTAAACCTTTCCGTGGGTAATCCCCTTCATTCCATTCATTCCTACATTTTATCCTCCTTTTATATTGGTATAATTCCTTTGAAATGCCATTATAATTGTGTAAAACTAGAGTAATATAATGGTAAATCAGGCCCGCTAAATGATGCTAAAATATGGTGAGTGGAGGTAGTTAGGGGAGTTGTATCTTTTAAGACTATCCATGTATATAGTTAATAATTTAGGATCTTAGAAGTTTTTTGTATTTAACAATAATTTCTGTTAAACTTTAATTTTAATACATTTTAAATTACAAACACTCCTAAAATTTGGTATTTTAAGGAATTATGAAATTTAAGCAGTAACCCAAGAGACCAAACAAAAAATAGTTGCCTTGTAGAAAGGGTCCTTAACTAATGATCAAACTAAATTGTACTGGCAAGATTGGGCTACTGTAAACCATTCTAAGAAGTGGAGTTGTCCGCTGGACATAGTACTTGGTGCAGATATGACTAATAATAAACTTGTACTTCCTAATTATTACTGTTGCTAGTTCAAGAGTATGTACTCTTATCAGTGTTTATATATAAACAAAGGCTGTGGAGAGCTTTTTGTTCTGTCATTTGAAGTGTTAAGGGACTTTTTTTCCCCACTTGTAGTACAGATAAGAATTGGATTTCACTGATATAAGGTTATTTAGAGATATTTTGGAAAAAAAAAAAAACCAAGGACACAGGTAAAGATCAAATTTTGGCTTGATATATGGTGCGATTCCTAAAAAGGGGCAGCATTTAAGTGTGTAGTTTGCAGACTAATACAAATACATTGGGGCAACAATTTCCATGAAAATCCATAGCATCCCAGTGAAAAGAGTTTATAATCTGAGATTATGCAACTAATTTTGTGTGTGTGTGTAGAGAGATGTTGCAATGGTGAAAGAGTGATAGGAGTGAATTAAGAGACTCTGCTAAAGAAGAGTATTTGATGCCATAAATTCTGGATTATTGCACCAGTGAATAAATCAAACAAGAGGAGACGTTTGAGTTTAAAGACAGTTGTAAAAAACTTAAGTAGAAATAATGGAGGAAAGTGGGGAAAGAATTAGAAAAATTGGAATTTTGTTAAGCTATCATTACATTTCTGCCATCACAAGCAGAAAAGCATTCCCAACATTGTGTAAAACATTTCTAAAATAGATTTTCTGTAAAATAAATGGCATTTGTAGGATTCATTGATGGTGCGATATTCCGTTTTTACTGGCACTCATTTGAGATGACCAGTGTAATTTAGTCATGGCTTCACCTCTTCTGGATAATACAGCCATCCCAAATTGATGCCGATAAAAGACATTTATACCACACCAGACCACCATTAATTCTTTTTATATATAAAATTTAGTTTCCAGACTTATAATGGAAATTAGTCTATTAAGGGTTTAATGTAAACTAACAAAAGCAAGGAAATTCAGAGAGCTTAAACTTCGTGCTGTTCACCTAAAACAATGTAGCATGAATGCATACATATATATGTATAACTTGAATTTCTGACATTGCAAGTACACATGGGAAGGGGTGTGTGTGCGTGGCATGTTAAGGATGGAGTTTCAGCCTTTACATGGAAGCTCTTTACAGGATTTAAATCATGCCCTTAATTTTGAATGTCTGCATTATAATCCAAACTGTTCTAATGAGACTGTGCTTGTTTATGTTTATATGACAGGTTAGTCAGTGGACCAGACTTTGTGAGTTCAGCATCCCGCAGGCTGTTGAGAGCTTATTGAATGCGTCTCCCGATCAGTGTCAGGCCATTCCACCTGAGGTTTTGCTTCTTGAGAAGAAGCTAGGAGAACCTGTCAGAGTGCACAATGATGACAAAATTCGAAGGCAGAAACTTCAACAGCAAAAGGCAGGTGATAAGACTGCAGCACCTGCCCTCGCTAAGAGAGCAACAAAAAATCTTAGCCCAGAAGAAGGAACAATAGTGGAAATCAAAGACCAAGAAGAACCTGCAAGTTTGGAACTGAAAGTAGCTTTCTCAAAATTAATTGTGCAGGAAATACCTGCTACAACCAACAGGGAGCCCTCTCACATCAGGAAAACAAAAACCTCTGATCTCCCACCTCTGGAGCATGTTTTTGCTGAGGGGCTTTATTTCACTCTGGCAGATGTAGTGCTTTTGCCATGCATCCATCAATTCTTGGTAAGAAAACAGCTTCTGTAGTTAATAAATAGTGTCTATATCTGTTAGAGTCTGAAAAGTTACACAACTACTTGATATAAGACACAGTCAAGCAAAGTATTTATTATGTAACCCTACATGGCACAAAATAGTTTCCCTTAATTGTTTTGTATGTGTATCACAGGGAATGAAGAGTTTTCGATATCAATACTAAAATGTAAAATATATGAGAGACAGTTGTTGGTAAGGGGCCAGATGAATCCTATATATTTACTATTAGAATGTGCTGAAATATACTTCTGATGCACAGGATGTTCAAAAAAGTGTTTCTGTTAATACTTATTTCAAGCACTTCCATTTGCCATTTATTTTTGTGCTGTGTGTCTCTTCACAATTGTCTGGGTCTGCTAAAGCATGTCACGTCTGCCATTTGAAACTCGGTTTCACTTGGTGTCTGGCTCCTTTAAGGGGAGATGGGGCCAGCCACACTTATGCCATAATTAATTAGCTGTTTCCCAGACTGAGAGGCTGGGACTAAGGAGGTTTAGGTGATACTTAATGGACACCAGGCCATGTAAGAGGGCTAAGAAAGCTCAACTTGGGAGGAACCACAGAGAGCGGGCAGGCTTCTTCGGAAGGTTCTGAGTGAGGGTCTGCAGTAGACTGAGGGGACTTCAGGGAAGGAGCCTGGGACTCAGGAGTCTATCCCAGAGCCTCACAGAGAGGCTGAGATGGTGCTAGAAACTCCAGGGAAGAAGTCTGAGAGTTAGGGCTCTATCCTAGACCCAGAGACTTTAAAGATAACCTGGAAACTGAGCCCAGGACAGTCTAGAAAGGAGCCCAGGTGGGGAGAAAGTACTTTTGTTTGTTGGGACGTAATTTGGACTTCCTACCTCAAAAGAGAATTGAGGTCAGAATGACCCAGCTGAAGGACTGAGCCACATGACCTGCCAGGAGAGAGAGAAAATCCTTGGGAGGAGGAAACTGAGGCAGGGAGTTCCTGCAGAGTCATGGGGCCAGAGATGCTCCATGACACTCAGGTAAAAAGCTGTGACATCCCAGACAGTAGCCTCTTCCATACCTGAAGCAGCGTACCAAGGAGAGGGGGAAGCAACAGGCTGGGGATCAGTTGTGATCCAATCAGAGGGGTGTGGCAGGTGAGAGCACTACGTGGAAGATAAAAGGAGTCTAATCTGGGGATCAGGAGAGAGGAAGCTATGTTTATGTGGGAGGGGGGGATCCATCACTGTGTAGCCTGTTGATTCCAGAAGACTTCTGTCAAGAAGCAATTCCTAAATATTTTTTTAAATGTATGTAGATTCCCAAACTAAAAACTTGTTAAACTGGATTTATGTCTGTAAATACCAAATACTTAAAGAGTAAAAAACCCTTAAGAGAATACTATACTTTTCTCAGTTACTAATGGTAACTCATAAATTCAAAATTAAAGTTACTCATAAAATCAACCACCGTCACTCCATGTGCTCAAATAATCTTAATTTTGCCCCTCACGCTGAGGATACCTCCAAATCAGGAGACACTCCTATTTTCAACAAAACACATCTTTATCTCATCCATTACACCAAACAGTTACCATAAATCTAACTAGATTATTTTATGCTTGTTGATAACTGATTCTACACTGCTGTAACATTTAAACCTAACTTCATCTTTACATTGCTACAGTAAACAATTCCTGTCTTTAAAACCAGACACAATTGACAGAAGGAGACGTGTGTGTATCTTTACTGACAGTAATCAGATTCAGAACAGTCTTATGAGACAATTCCCCAGAAATAGTTAGAATTTCGAAGTGTTTTAGGAGGGTTTGTCTTGCCTAGGAAAAGTGGTCAAGTTTAGGTCTGGCTTAACTAAAATGTGCTAGTTAAACCTGACCTTAAACTCAATCTTTTTCCTGCTATAAATGGAAGGTAATACTCTGTAGTTTTAATCAGCTGATTGAGTTGTATCCTAAGCAGTGTGAATATTTACTAAAGTTGAATGCATCCACTTTATGATAATGGAATCTGTATGCTCTCATTAAGTCCAAAGTATAAATAGGGGGAGAATTATAAAATGAATGATTTAACAAGATGAGAAGCCAAAATCAAGATGTCTTAGGCAGCTTTTTAATGGACATTCTTTTAATGAAAGGGCATTATAATGTGGGTAAAACAAAAGTAAGTAGGAGTGAGATAGTCATAGCTGTAATTTTCCTGCATGCTAATTCTGGCAACAGCGTATTGGTGGGGCAAGGCAAAATTTGATTTTGATACAGTTTTGTTGTTTCTCTTGTTTATATGAATGTTACCCTGAATTGAAACATTTTTCAGCTGAAACATGAATCTTTATGAGATCTTTTCAGGATGTGGGTAGACATGTCTAAAAGAAAACGAATGTCTCTTAGAAAAGTGAGAGGGTTTTTTATGGAGGAAGTGAAAGGAAAGGAATGCAGAGACGACAATGGCATTTTAGTGATATAGCACCTTGTCTTTCCTTTCACACAGCAAAACTTAAGTGTTATTCAAGTATCATCCAATGGCAAACTTCCTCAGAAGTTAGTATTAAAGTTTGACCTCTAGTAGTCTCTAATTTCTTGATTTCCTTGGAGCTAAATTTTCAGATTTTTTTTGTCTTTAAATATTTCCTTTTATAATACCTGATTTATTTTGACTTCGGATGGCCAGATTGTTTGTTCTCCTTTAAAAAAATTTTATACCTAATTTTTCTTTTTTACTATTCTATCATTATTGGGCACTTCCTGGTACATTTCCTGTGAGGCGGAGGAAATATTCCTTTGGCTCTGTTGTGGCGATGCCACTGATTTATTACCTGTCCAAGGTTGGTTTTGCAACAAGTACACTACTGTAGCACTTGTTGCTAAGATGTCCATATATAGGAGGTCCTGAGACAATCATTTTGAGGGGTTAAAACTAAGAGATTGTCTATGCTGGGATTTCTTTGCATCAGTTTAGCTTTACCATTGAAACCAAGATAAACCATACCTCTGCAAGTCACTTTTTACACTAGTGCAGCACATCCACACTATGGGTTTGTATTGGTGCAGCTATGTTGGTGTAATTATCTGGTGCCAAAACAATCCCATGTAGACAAGATGCAAAGAGGCTTCAGGGTTAACAGCCCATTGAGTTGAATGGAAGCAGCTCTATTATAGACAAATCGTGCCAGCTCCACTGATTGCAGAGATCCCTCTTTCACTGTACAAAGTTGAGTAGGGTGGCATGATGGCACAGGGCAGGAGGGCACAGAAAAACATGGGCAGAGTTAAGGAAGTGGACATCTTTGTGCCCAGTGGGGGCACCTTGGATAGTGAGATGTTAGCAGTGTCTTGGGTGCAAGGGGTGAGTGTAGTCCACCACTATTGATCCGTCATATGCCCTCTGTGATTTGGCAGTTGTAGTAGTTGCTCTTCATCAGGAAAATATATTAGGTAATATGCTGACTCTAGACATAAATTTATTCTCTATTTCTTGCACAAAAGGTCTTATATCTTCATTTATTTTTACTCTTTGAGTAATTCTAGCACAGCACTTCCCTGTATTTCATTTTCAGGGAATGCACTCTAATGACGGAGGTGAGGAAATGAGAGAATTGTAGCTGCCCCACACATATAAAATGCACTTGAAAGAACATAGCAATGATATCTGTTTCATTGGTGATGTTCAGTATTTATACTTCAGGAAAGTTTGATATCTGAACTGGTCAATGAATGCCTGTCAGAGTCTGTTGCCAAAAGGAGAGCTGTGTGAGTTTAGGCTTTGTATTTTGCTAATTTTTCTGCTGGTGGTTGAAAACAAAAGCAGTTCTGGGAGAACATACTGTCAATCAGGTTCATAGAAGGAATCTCCAAAATCAAGAAAAGCACTTACTCACATTGGTATGTGCAGTAAAACCTGCTATATAGCTCTTCTTGGTAAAAACATAATCTCCAGATGACTGTGTCCATTGTCACAAGAATTTTCCACCCAAGAGTAGCAGTAACGTTGTTCCTTTGAGTTGTGAAGAAGTTATTTTACAGTAGACTCCAGATTAGAAATACATCAGTGTTTTTTTGTTTTTGTTTTGCAACCATAGTTAATTGAGGATTATCAATTACCTTTATAAGGATTGTTTCAACCAATAAAAGCTACAAAGCAAAATGTTTTCTTAATATTTTAACAACGATCAGACCTTCCAGCCTCATTCATTTTTCCAAGACTTTTCTAAATAAGCCTAGCATAATTTTTTATGATTGTTGGACTTATTGATGCCATGCCTGGGAAGGATTCTGGATCAGATGCTCTGTGGATTTCAGTAATCCAGTAAAACCTGTCTGAAGAATTACAATATGTATTGCTGGAAGTTATATGTTTATTTGCTGCTTCTGTATGGCCTTGGAGCCTTAACCTTGTGCAGCTTGTGAGTCCTGTGTGAACAGTTGCATTTAATTAAAGGTGCGGCCAGAATTCTTGGCAAAAATAACAAAACAAAACAAAAAACCTCCTCCAACAACCAACCCTAACATAGATATAGTACACCTACCATAGCAAAACCACCATTCTCTGAGATGGGCATTTTGTTGCTGCTCCATTTTATATATTGTGCATTTATGTTGCCTTTTTTTAGATCGCACCAAAGATAATGATCTAAAACTGTGTTTTCAGGTGCTTATGATTTAAATAAAAAACTAACTCTGGGGTGGAACATGGTGAGGCTACCTCACTTACCTTCAAAGCGAATGATCACTCAGATGGTTATGCTGTGTCTCCTACTGCTTTATCACCCATATTTGATAACTTATAACACAGTTTTGCCCAGCCCTCTATTGTATTGAATCCAGTTGTTACACTATTGTGGACAGAAACAGCAGAGTTCAACATCCATCTTAAAATGCATCTGACTACTTACACTAATAGGGTGACCCAGACCACATTTAGACTATACCTTTTTCAATCATTGATTTTGTAGTTGCTAGTTCTTTACACTTCATCATTATTTTTACCTTTAAATAAAGAGCTTCAGTGGTACATGTTTAAAAAGTACAACATGGCAAATATTAACAAGTCATAACTAATTACCAATATAAAAATAATGAGGCTAAAGACTTGTTTTTAATATACTTGTTCCATTTATACTGTTTTCTCAAGTTTAGCCTTATTTAGCAGTTATTCTTTCCATTAATTGTAGCTGTTAAATTTAATAAAAGAAGAATAAAAGTACACCTCTACCCCGATATAACGCGACCCGATATAATACGAATTTGGATATAATGCAGTAAAGCAGTGCTGCGGGGGGGGAGGGCTGCGCACTCCGGCGGATCAAAGCAAGTTCGATATAACGTATAACCTATAACGCGGTGTAAATTTTTGGCTCCCGAGGACAGCGTTATATCGGGGTAGAGGTGTATTGTTTTTGATCTGGGAGAGAAACACACATAATTCAACTCTTATTGTCAAGTAGAAAAGCACATGTTGGAATTGCTTTCTAAAGACAATTTCCTCAGCGAAGTAAATCTTTTCCTACACATGTTCTAAATACGTGGACATATTTTAATATTTAATTAAATATCCTGATACTTTTTAGTCTTGTCTTTGCACTCTAGTTATTACTAATTACTTATGATTAATTTGTAAGAACAGTACAAAAAACACAGATAAACTGTATGTTTTTTTGAACATTTGGTAAGTGTCCTTTACCAATTCCTGCATCCAAAACACACACACACGCTCTATTTCTTGCATGTTATTTCTTTGCTGCTTTTGTTTACAATAATAATTTATGGTCTTCTGTTTTGTAGCATAATCATTTCCATGGCAACAATGCATAGTATCTCACAGGCCAGTGACCTCCTAATTTGGCTAATCTAATTTACAAGAAGGGCTATAATGGTAAGACATCTTATAGAGAGAAAGACCTGGAAAAATAGATTCATTTAAATATATAAAAACACTGTCAGAGAGGCATTTCCATTGTTACATTTCCATTTTTTTCAACATCTACCAAGTTGTTGATCTAACTCAAATAGCTTGAGAAAAGTTTGTCTACCATTCAACTTCATTTTCTTTAGAACTATTAAATGATTGTACCCTAAAGTTTTACAGAATGAAAGTCATAGCTCAAGGTTTTGTTTTCCTGAACTTTTAAAAAAAAATTTTAAATCAAGGAATATTTTCTGAAGGAAAGCTATTTTACATCTCACTGCTTTAAAAAAAAGCCCAAACATTCTGACATCTCTGTAGATAATGTTGTTTTGGTTAAGCTTATTTTTTTTAAAATATTCTTTGTCTTCTCTGCTATAGTCTCCTTTTTCTCATTGCTGCAGCTGCAAGAAGACAGAAAGTTTGGCAGTAATAGAGCAGATTGGTGGCAGATCCAGAGGAGAAGAGGGTAGAATTGGAGGTGCTGCAGTGGTGGAGTAGAGTAGCAGGATCAAGGGGGAGCAGTTATGGCAGCTCAGTGAGTCATTACTTTTTCCTGGTTGCTGATATTTTGTTCTCTAGAACTTCAATTTTTATGGAGGGGGAGAAAAAAAATCTAGTCCCTTTGTCTGCTCAGGGAAGTAGCAGAAAACAGTGAGATGTGGAAGGAAGAAAACTGAGGGGTAAATAAAGTATAAAGACTAGGAGAAAGTGAAAAGGGGGCACAATGTGTCAGTGTGGAGAGAACCAAGGATGGCAGGAGGCAAGAGAAGGATGCGTGACACCAACAAACTGATATAATTGATCTCTCTGCAAAATGGCCAAAATCTCGAAAATTATTGCTTGTACAAAGCATAGATATTCTGAAATTCACTTTCTGTCTTAATGATGTAGGAATTAATATTAGGGTTGTCAAGTGATTAAAAAAAGTAATCGCACGATTAAAAAATGTAATTGTGCGATTAAACAATAGAATACCATTTATTTAAATATTTTTTGATTTTTTTACATTTTCAAATATATTTGTTTCAATTATAACACAATACAGTGTACAATGATCACTTTATATTTATTTATTACAAATATTTGCACTGTAAAAAACAAAAGAAATAGTATTTTTCAATTAACCTAATACAAGTACTGTAGTGCAATCTCTTTATCATGAAAGTTGAACTTACAAATCTAGAATTATGGACAAAAAAAACTGCATTCAAAAATAAAACAATGTAAAACTTTAGAGATCACAAGTCCACTCAGTCCTATTTCTTGTTCAGCCAATTGCTCAGACAAACAAGTTTGTTTACATTTGCACCAGATAATGCTGCCCACTTCTTGTTCACAATGTCACCTGAAAGTGAGAACAGGTGTTCTCATGGCACTATTGTAACCGGAGTCGCAAGATATTTACATGCCAGATGTGCTAAAGATTCATATGTCCCTCCGTTCTGGCGGATATGCGTCCATGCTGATGACTGGTTCTGCTCCATAACCATCCAAAGCAATGATTTTCTTTTTTGGTGGTTCGGGTTCTGTAGTTTCCATATATGAGTGTTGCTCTTTTAAGACTTCTGAAAGCATGCACCACACCTCATTCTTCTAAGATTTTGGAAGGCACTTCAGATTCTTAAACCTTGGGTCGAGTGCTATAGCTATCTTTAGAAATCTCATGTTGGTACCTTTTTTGCGTTTTGTCAAATCTGCAGCGAAAGTGTTCTTAAAATGAACATGTGCTGAGTCATCATCCTAGACTACTATAACATGAAATATATGGCAGAATGTGGGTAAAATAGAGCTGCAGACATACAATTTTCCCCTCAGGAGTTCAGTCACAAATTTAATTAACGCATTATTTTTTTAATGAGCGTCATCAGCATGGAAGCATGTCCTCTGGAATGGTGGCCAAAGCATGAAGGGGCATACAAATGTTTAGCATATCTGGTATGTAAATACCTTGCAATGCCGGCTACAAAAGTCCCATGCGAACACCTGTTCTCACTTTCTAGTGACATTGTAAATAAGAAGTGAGCAGCATTATCTCCTGTTAATGTAAACAAACTTGTTTGTCTTAGTGATTGGCTGAACGAGAAGTAGGACTGAGTGGACTTGTAGACTCTGAAGTTTTGCATTGCTCTGTTTTAGAGTGCAGTTATGTAACCAAAAAAAATCTACATTTGTAAGTTGCACTTTCATGATAAAGAGATTGCACTACAGTACCTGTATGAGGTGAATTGAAAAGTACTGTTTTTTATCATTTTTACAGTGCAAATATTTGTAATAAAAATAATATAAAGTGATCAGTGTACACTTTGTATTCTGTGTTGTAATTTAAATCAATATATTTGAAAATGTAGAAAAACATCCAAAAATATTAAAGTTTCAATTGATATTCTATTGTTTAACAATGCGATTAAAACTGCGATTAATCGCGATTAATTTTTTTGAGTTAATCGTGTGAGTTAACTGTGATTAATGAACAGTCTTACATAATATTACTTCTTTGCATTTCGGTCCTACCAACTGACCTTTGCAAAATCCTAGATCCATTGCTGCCCCATCATTTTAAAATCAATTTAAAATGAACAGATTGTTTCAGTACAGATTATCTGATGATGGTGCAAAATAAAAATTACAAACTAGGAATTTAAAAATCCAGATACAGCCAGTTCCAAACACGACAAGGTCTTTTGTCTGATTTTGGCATTAAACCCTTCCTCGTTATTTACACTCATAGTAAATTCTCCCAAGAGTTTATTCACTGTGACCTTATCCTATGTAATGTATCCTATGCATTTAATTCCCATTGGCACTATCTGAATCATATGTGTAAGGAGTAGGCTGACCAGATAGCAACTGTGAAAAAACAGGACGGGGTGGGGTGTAATAGGCGCCTATATAAGAAAAAGTCCCCATAAACGGGACTGTCCCTATAAAAACGGGACATCTGGTCACCCTAGTAAGGAGAGATGTATGCTAATTGGTTCTCATTTTAGGCCATCTATAACCACTGAAAACTAAGACTGAAATAAATTGCCCTATTTCAATTTAAATACTTGCACACCACAACTCCAAGTCAGCAGGAGAGAATGCAAGATGTCCTTTCTACCACACTTAGAAATGGCTCTGTCAAGTAAGCCTTCAGAGTTGAAATATTGTCTGTAAAATGGCTAGCACACTTTTTGAGTGCTATATAAATAACAAAACACAACTATATCTATTTTAACTATGTATCTTAGGTATTTTGAAGCCCGTTTTCCTTTCAAGATCAGTTAAAATATGAACCAGAATTAATTATGGTGAACCACACTCAACTTTGTTTCCTCTTCCTTTCTTCTGCTTTTTGGAATAACTAAGTGACTACTTGGTCCAAACAGGTATCAAAAGGATTTTGGTTGACCATTCATACTTTACTTTTCACTATTTAATCCTGGATTCTTCTTCTGCACCCTTTTAAAGCAGAAACATCATTACAAACCAAAGTTATAACTGTTATAATAGGAAGACTCCCAGGGGCCAGACTTATAATTATGATCCAGTATTTGGGCAACACAAAGGTGTTACAGAATCTGTCTGCAAATAGACAGCGAAAAATTCCAGATTTGGGGGGAAGGGAGGCTTCCAGGTGGTGTGAAGTCAGCTTCTGCCCCATCCATCTGTCCACCAGCATCCATAGCATGTTGGGGGAAAGGGAGGAGCAGAGCTTTGCTCTATAGTACAGCTTTTTTCTTCTGTGGATTGAATGCAAAAAATTGCAGTACTAAGTAAGGTTTTTGCTTTATTGTCTAGGTTTTCATCAAGAAGCACAACAAAAAGCTATTAGATTTGCGTCTGATATCCAGTTGGTACCACAGAGTTCAGGAAGTGCCTGGAGTAAAGAGTGCTGCTGCCAAGTGCAATATGCTGTTTCTCCAATTTCCAGATTTGCTGTCTTTCCCAGATGAGCAGCTGAGAGACTTCTCTACAATTCCTGATGACTTAGAGGAAGAACATGAAGACTATCAGTTTATAGGCGGTCCAAGGCCAACCATGACAAAGTTAATGGTAATTCAGCATTTTCATTTATTATTTTCAATAATAATAATAATAAAAATTATATTATTATAGTTCTGCCTGAATTTAGGATAGTACAGATCTCTAAATAGTAACTAATTAGAAGTGCTTGGAAAACACCTTTGGAAGCCTTCATCAGCTCATTAAGGGCTACCTGTATATTCTGACTTCTCTCTGAGACCTATTGAGCTATAATTTTTTATTTATATATATTTTTGTTATTTAACTTCTGAATAAAAAATGATAAAGTTTATGACCGGAGGAAACCAGATGTTAAAATTATTAAAGTACACAATGGTATTTTTTTTTATATATATATAAAAAAATATTATGTTTCATAATATATATATTATGAAACAAAAAAAATTAGGCTGTTATAGAACCAAAAATAAAATGCTGCTTTGGTATTTCGTTTTAATATTCTGTCTTCTATGATTTTTTCAGTTGTTTGTTCAGAGCTGTGAGTACCTGGAGACCCAAAGAAAATGTAAAAATATCCATTCATTTCTGCATAAAAGATATAGGAAGATGAAAGCCAAAGAAAATATAACTGTATGGTATGGAACGGCAGTAGTCCAACCATGTAGCTAAGGGATCTTAGAGCCTGATCCTGCGCCATTAAAGTCGATGGGAACTTTGCTACTGACTTCAGTGGGCATAGGCGTAAACCATAAGGCCTGTTTGAATCTGTCTTTGAGAGATCAGTTTATTTTCTTACCCACAGGAAAGCGGTATTGAAGCAAAGTTTTCTCCTCATCCCTGCCCTAGGTGGACCCTAGATTGGAACAGTCTACCAGCAGCAGTCAGTCCTGGAGAAGGTAGGGTCTTTCTTTTTGTATTTTCTTCAAGCTATTCTTATAAAAATATATTTCTTCTAATAAAACTACGTAATGATTTTGGTCGGAACAATGGAAATGTACAGTACTTTCCTTGAATGTATGTTGTTTTTTTTCCTTTATGTCCAATGTTACATTTTCCACTGCAAGTTCGTGATGGCATACTAATCAGTATTGTGAGTATTGTTATGAATTATACACTCCCCCTGAAGCATCAGCAGATTCTAGTCACTTGCAAAAAAAAAATCTTACATTAACTAGACTTGGAAACTTTACACCATTTTTGTCTTGTGTAGGTTTACGATTTCCTCTTCCACTCCTCCAGCACATTAGGTTGTGTTCTCTGACTTCATAGAAGAGTTGGTAGGTTTTGTTGCATGTGTACAGTTCCGTGCACCACTGGGCCCTTTAATTCTTATTCGCCTCTATAAATTCCTGTGAGCTCAAATACCTGCATACTGAATTCTCCTGGGACTCTGAATGTTTTTGTCTGGTCCATGCCTCAGCAGTATTTCAGAAAATGATCTCTTCTCAGAGCCTTGACAAATGTGTTTGGAACCTCTTGAGGCGTCTAGTTACTCAGACTACAAATGTGTTTTCTTCAAGGATTCAGACTTTTTTTCCTTCACAGGAGATAGCTCCTCAGCCTGCCAGTCATAGAGTTGTTTCACAAAAATCATTGCTGTCTATTTTCCTTTTCCTCCTGTGCGCTGTGGCTAAGACAAATTTTCCTCAGATAGATAAGTAATTCTTCACGATTGTTTTACTGTCACTGCTTTAAAAATAAGAAAGTAAAAAGTAAACTGCCAAACCTCCACTGGAGGGGGTGTGGACAGAAGTGTAATTCAGCCTCTCTTAAAGCATTAATCCTAATATTTCCTGGTCCACAAAACGCCCCTGAACTTCTGAGTTTTATCTTGAATTTTAGAAACCTTAATTGCCACATAAAATGGAATAATTTCCAATTGCTTTAAATGCAAGCTATGGACTGGATACAGGAATAGATTGAAAAGATTTATGTTCTCTGATGTCCCTGTGATGTAATCCCAGAGGAAGTTCCCCAGACTCTCAACAGCAGGAAGAATCTGTCAGTTTAAAGTGTTCTGTGTGGTCTCAAGAACTTGCTGTACATCTTCATTAAATGTATAGTTGTGGTGGCTTTCTAGTTAAGTTGGCAAGGCTTCAGTTTTGGGCAAGGCCAGAGAAAATTAGGCAGTGCCAACAGAAAATGCCCACCAAATCTTAAAAAAAAAAAAAAAAAAAAATCTAGGTCTTGCTTTCAACCACAAAAAAATGAGATGCTAGTGTTGGACTAGTGTTTGCTAGAAGGAAAGACTTGTGCTTTTTGGCAACTGGGTCTTTGAATTCAGAACAGGAACATAATTGTCATCCTATCCTTTCTGAGATGTATGATATCATGTCTCCAACTGATACATTATTTTATGTACCTATTTTTTTTTTTATCTAGATTGCTTAACCCAGTGGCCAGAAGGATACAATGTGTTTGCAGGAGTGCACTAAAACAGTTTGTAATGTTAGAAGTCATGGTGACATTTTGCAGGCATCTCATATACTATCCACTGTCTTCCAAATGGTTACAAACTTACCATAAACTATTCATAAAGCTGTTGGAATTGCAGGGAATTTTTGTGGGAATCTAGTTCACTTACAGGCTTGCAAGTGATGTCATGGACTTGTTCTATATCAACTGATACAGGTAGCAGGTTCTGTCTGTTCATGTCGGTTAGTAACCTCTGGAATTTTTGTATTCACACCACTACCCTGTTGGCAATGGTTGTTCTTGAGATTCCAATTTACAGGCTGGTTTCCTGAGCAGACATTTCCAGAACATCTGGATTCTGAATGGGAATTGCATTAGGGTGTCATAAAACAGATGTTGGGATATGCCTATTCCAGATTTACAACTGCAAAATAAAGAAATACATATCCAGATAACAGGGAGTTCTCAGGGAAGGTACTCTAAAAATGATGGCCTAAGGGCATATTAGAATCTTAATGCCAGTGTACTGCTTCTGTTTTTATGTGAGCTTTTCTAAACAGACTGTTGGGATCATGATGATAATTTTGGCCTTTTCCTGACCTTTTACCTTGCTACATAGGTGCTGGAACTCTGGGTGCTGGGAGTGCTGCTGCACCCCTGCCTCGCTAGGACCTTGGCAGTCTGCTGTCCATGGATTCTGTGTAGGCAGAGAGCACTTAAAAACAGGTCACTGGTCCTGAAGTACTTTTGTCCTTTTCATGGGCGGTTTGACTGCTGAGAAGTACAACTTGTATAATAGAGTTTCTCTTAAGTCCTACATATACTGCCAACCTCCATGAAGCTAGTGAAAAGTAACATCTCTCTGCAAAAGTGGGAAAGGTTTGCTTTCTTTTTTGAAAAGCACAAACATCATCTTAGAAACTGGTTGAATGGCCAGCACACTGAAATAACAAAGTCAAGCCACTTAAGACCCCTAAGGGCATATACACACACATTTCCTCTTTACATAGAAATAAGATCTCTTGCCATGTAATATTATTTTGTGGTACCCTTCAGTTCAGAAATTGGTGGCACCTGTGTTTGATGTAGGTGCGGTCCTCAAAGTCCTGACAGCCCTTAGCTGCTCCATGCATAGATTTATGGTTTATAATTTAATATATCTGTCTTCCTAAGACTGACTTTCTGTTTCTGGTTTCCTGCTGAGAAATTCTCTTACTGGAAAGTTACGCAACTGCTTGCATTATTGTTGCCCAGTTTCTTTTAATATTTGAAGGAAAAATAACCTTTTAGATAGGATCTGTCAGCATTACACAATGCTGTTTCAGACTTCTTGTCAGTGGTGGCTAGAGCTCTTGTGTTAAAATAATTTTCTAGTTTGGCTGATAAATTGCATAAAGATGACAGATAAAAGTTATATTAAAAGATTCTAACATTTGTGAAAGTCAAATTGATTTTTTTGTTTGCTTCCTGTCTTTGAATATTGTGCTGGCGTTTCCATTCACACTGTATCTAGGTGGCTGATTCCTTCTTTTGGATAGGAAAATGTCTGAAGAGATGATTCATAAGGGCCATTATTTTTTGGAAGTTTCTCTTGTGCTGGATCCAGTTCTCTGGGGCGAAAAAAAAGTCATAATTCACAGGGTATCCTGCCCATCCAGCTAAATCAGGGGTGGGCAAACTTTTTGGCCCAAGGGCCACATCTGAGTATGGAAATTGTATGGCGGGCCATGAATGCTCACAAAATTGGGGGTTGGGGAGCGGGGTGTGTGTGTGAGGGCTCCAGCTGGGGATGAGGGGTTGCGGGTGCTCCGGGCTGGGATCGAGGTGTTCGGCGGGAGGGAGGGGGATCAGGGCTGGGTCAGCGGGTTGGGGTGCAGGAGGGGGTTGGGGGTGCAGGCTCCAGATGGTGCTTACCTCAAGCAGCTCCCAGAAGCAGCGGCATGTCCCCCCTCCAGCTTCTACGAAGAGGCGCGGCCAAGTGGCTCTGCACGCCACCCTGTCTGCAGGCGCCGTCCGTGCAGCTCCCATGGGCCATGGTTCCCGGCCAATGGGAGCTGTGGGGGTAGCATGCAGAGCCCCTTAGCTGCACCTATACGTAGGAGCTGGAGGGGGGAGGATATGCCACTGTTTCTGGGAGCTGTGTGGAGCGGGGCAAGCCCCAGACCCCACTCCTGGCTGGAGCGCCGGAGCGGGGCAAGCCCCGGACCCCGCTCCCTGCCGGGAGCTTGAGGGCCAGATTTAAAACGTCTGGAGGGCCGGGGGGCTAAAGGGGGGAGGGGGGGGGTTTTTTTTTTTTTTTTTTTTTGGAAGCGGATACCTTTTCCTGCTGGCATGCTTGCTGAAATAGTCACAATAATGGCATCTGCACAATGGTTGAGTGTTTTATTCAATCCTAGTTTGCAAAAAAAAAAAAACCCCCAACATTTCTAGTTTTGTATCATCTTTGGAAATATTATTTAGGGAAGGCATAGCTAGCTCACCAAGTGTGCCAGCAGTGGGAGGTTTCTGCCTCCCTTCCCTCCCAAAACAACTCTACCCTCTTTAGCAAGTTTGGTGAGGGACCCCATGGATTATGATTTCTGTACAGAACAGTGGAGCCATACTGATGAAAAAAATAGATAGGTTAGAGAACTAGTGTTGCCTTTCAATTAGATTTAGCTACCTGTTCAGCTCTGCTGTTCTGACTGTGACTACATTGTATGTCATCTGCTTTTTTACTGACGGAGACTGATTGGGGCTATATAAATTCTCAGTATTTTATTATTAGACCCTACTTGACATGGTAGGAAAACAAAGTGACTGGATGTGACAAGGTTTTAAATCTGGGTTTGAATAATGCATTTCTATTGTATAAAATGGCTTTCAAACAGATTATTCCTGTAATTTGGTAAATAAAGTTCCTTTTATTAATGTTCATATAAATTAAGAAACGGGAGCAAATATTTCAATTCAGATACACTTTGTTTTTATCCACAGTTAATTTAATTTGCTGCCAAATAGTATTTTCATTTAATAGTATGAAAAATATGCTTGGTACTAGCTTTAAACTATCTTAAATGAAACATTAATACTTTGTATTCTGTTGTGAACGTATTGAAGTTCATAAAATACATTTTTCACTACAGAAGTTTAATTGGACCACCTTGCTGTCATAGTTACTTATTACAGCAAAGAGCATTTGATGATGGCAATACTAGCACATTTTATTTAGGTTGAAATGAATTTCATTCAGTGTTTTCTGAATGGGATTATTTACTTTAGCAAAACTAAAGATTGTAGTATTGTGATTTGAATTTCACTCACATTATATATCCAATTGTTAAATAATATTTCTAAAATAAAATTACCGGTAGGTTAATATGTATTAAGCCTTTATCACTCTTAATTGGAATGCAATTTCCAAAAGTGGTACTTTATTAAGAACAAAGTAAAGTAATATTTTAAATTTTGGATCTACTCCTTTTTATTCCTGACATTATGT